CAGAAGACACTGTTGGGGCTGCAAAAATCCACAACTGGGTCCTAATTACCCTAACAATGGAAAACTCCCCCATAATACAGTGACGGCAAACCTATATACATATGTATTTATTAGGTAATCTGTTAACTTTTTATGTTGACATTTAAAAACTGACCCCTACACCTAGGCACATCAACAAGAATCCTGATCCCCTTCCATCATGCCCATCCCCACCCTACCTTCAGCCTCCCTTCCTGCCTTGGACAGCGAGCCATGGCGGCTTCGCCGTTCTAGTTAAAGATTAAATCTATTAATCTTTAACGAGACTTCACGTAACCCATGATGACGTTATTATGATGTCACCTCAATTTTCATCAATAACACATCCTGGTCTAGGTACATACCAACTTTCAACCCAATCGGACCAGTGGTTCTGTTTAGTGCTGCAGCCGAACCGAACACTAAAAATAGCCGAACTTGACCTTCCGAACCGAACCCGAACCAAACCAAACCCAAATGTCGGTTCGGAAAGTTCGGCAAGTATTTGTTGAAAGCGCTAGGTATGCTAATGCTTGCAATGAAAGGGCAAAATTAAAGCGCCCCGATGATTGAATTTACCGTGTTGACAAGTCACCGCATTCATCTTCATTATTCGCAGTGTTCTAGCAAGGCATACAATAGGATATCAGGCCAATACGCTTTGAAAAAATCGTACGCGCCTTGCGATTTTTTCAATGAAAAGCGTGTTCTTTGCATTCATGCAGCGTGGTCAGTATCTTTGGCCGCGCCCTGCTGTTCCGTGTTCCAGCGTGACGTAGTACGGTTGGACAAAACCAATTGCGGTGAAGGGTGTGCTTTCCTTGGCAAAATTCACCAGCATTTTCATTTTTTTTTTCACCGTATCAGAATTAAAAAAAATACTTTTTATGGAGTCTGAAACCTTTCCCATGTTCAGAATAAGTTCGTAATTTTTGCAATATATTTTTTTCCGTTAAGAATCAATACGAAAAACGATGTAATCTCCAAAAAGAGGGTGAAACACCCCTTTACAAAATTAATGGATCCGTCCACAATATGAATATTCATGGCAGTCGAAATTCGAAAATCGAAAAGTTATTATTTTTACGGTAGCTACTTGTCGGCTTGTTGCTAAAAATAATTAGCCTATGATTTCATAAGTTTGGCACAGTAAAAGGACCTGTTTGTTTTAGAACAAACTATTCAGCAATTATTGCCATGAGACAAGTTTTTAGTGCTCATCAGGGCATGCTCGGACGGGACGGAACTCGTCGGGGAAAACCCGTCAGCACGTGTGGGAAAATTTTACGGCGATCGTGTAGCGTAGGGCCCCTGTTTTGTTTTGATCAAATAAGAGTCAAAAATGTTTTTTTATTGCAAAAAAAAATCACCTTTATAATCAAAAGCAGACTTCTCAATTCTAATGACAACCGTTTCGCAATTTTGAGCAGTTTCTGTTATAGAGAATGGACGAGGAACTGTAGATTCGTGCTAAGAATGGACGAGGCAATCTGACTTACTGATCATGAGATATTAGGGCTTACAATATACATTATACATCTAATGATGACGTCATCATAACAATACTTGGCAGTGCTCATTATTTTATTGTGGTTTTAGTCTGTACCACGTTTGAAAAAGATCAGATTAATGAAGTGTTACATTTTGTAAGCAGAATAAAATTGGCAATATTAAAAAAAATTGGTAAAAAATCTACCGATGAGGTCATCAGCAAGAGATGAGAAAAAATGTCAACCCCCCCCCCCCCCAGTTAAAAATACACAAAGAACTAAAAGGACCCAGTACAGTGGTCGGCAGAGGTGGCATCTTAGGGAATTGATCCAGCTATTTAATGACATTTCAACGACGCCAGACCTCAGAGATTCCGGTAGCTCGTCCCATTCACGAGCAAACACATTCACTGCACAGCCGTGAAGTCTTTGTGTGCGAGCTCTAAGATGACAAAACCGCACTGTTTCTGTGTGTCGACCGTTGACCACAATGCCGTGTCTAACAATGTTACAAGGGGAAAGGAGATAGGGATTTTGGAGTTTGGGTGGGGTTGGGATGTGTAGGTGATGGGATTGGGATGGGTGTGGGAGGATGGGATGGGTGTGGGTAAGGGGTGGGGGGAGGGGGCGGGTCGGGGACGGGGTAAGGTTTGGGGCATGTGGTGATGGTGCTGTGTCTACATGTACATATGTATGTACACCCATTCTTGTTCCGCATTTGTGGCGACTACACAAGAGTTTCCCATGGCAATACAAGTATGGGGACCAGAAGACACTGGGGGCTGCAAAAAGGCTCCACAATTGGGTCCTAATTACCCTAACAATGGAAAACTTCCCCATAACGCAGTGACAGCTAACCTATAACATGTATTTATTAGGTAATCTGTTGACTTTTTATGTTGACATTAGAAAACTGACCCCTACACCCTGGCACATCAACGAGAATCCTGATCCCCATCATGCCCATCCCCAACCCTACCTTCAGCCTCCTTCCTGCCTTCGACAGCGAGCCATGGCGGCTTCGCCGTTCTAGTTTTGTTCTTTTTCAGTCATTTTTACCCATAGCATTTGTACACGTATTTTTGTTACCGGCACTTTGGCCACTAAAATCAATCTGATTGCCTTTATACTCGGCACACACTTAGACCAGCATCTGCAGTTGATCCCCGAACATTGACGTCATCATGACGTCATCACGTGTCACGTGACGTCACATTATATGCGATTTTTCCGTTGTGACCATTTTCTAGAATTCGGCTAGATCTGACAGATTGGGCTATATCTCCAGAACTACAGGTCCGATTGGGTTGAAAGTTGGTATGTACCTAGACCGGGATGTCTTATAGATGAAAATTAACTTGACGTCATGATGACATCATCACGTGACATATGACGTCATATAAAATAAACATATTTTGAAGGCCTATATCTCCAGAACTGCAAGTCCAATTGGGTTGAAACTTGGTATGTACCTAAACCAGAAAGTGTTAAAGATGAAAATGAAGTGACGTCACGATGACGTCATCACGTGACATGTGACGTCATATTAAACAAGCATAATTTGAAGGCCGATATCTACATTGTATAGAACTGCAACACGAAAATAATGATGGCGATCACCGCGCGATGTACCATGTGTACCGTGAGCCCGCAAGTCGCTGTGCTGGGCACCAACCGGCTCGTAAACTGCGTAGGAAAATCGTAATTTCTACCCCAAGAAACTGTTCAAAAATTACAAAAAAGGTGTCATTATATTGAGAGAAGTCTGCTTTAGGTTGGCAGTCATTTTTTAGGAATAAAACAAATTCTTGATTCTAATTTGATCGAAATAAAACGGGACCTACACAAAATCTGAGTTTTTACTCTCCAGCCTCGGGTCTCCGATCCGACAAATGCAAGGGTCATGTTCAAGTGTGTGTTTATACGTTGCGCGTGCGCTGATCTTCGCGTGACCTCAGCAGGTCAACTCTACATTGGGCTCGACCATTTGGGATGGAGGGGGATTGTATGCTTACATAATATGTGCGTCATTTTACTGATGGATCTGTGCATCCTTTTTTTGGTCAAATTTAAAAACAGTCCACCAAAACTGACAATTTGTAACGATACAGCGCAACGTATTCAGCGCGCCGAAATGACGTACATATGTACTGTTGCGCGATGCCAAGCATAGGATTCCTCCTCCATCCCAAATGGTTGAGCCGAATGTAGAATTGACCTGCTGAGGTCATGCGAAGATCAGCGCAAGCGCAACATACATGTACGTAAACACACATGAACATGACTGCTGAATTCGTCGGATCAGCAAAGTGAGGTTGGTGAGTAAAAACTAAGATTTTCCACCCCAAAAAATTGTCCCATGATCCAAATGTCAATCGCTCTGAAATATATCAGAGTTACACAAATGTATGGATCAATCATAGCAACTTTTGGGTGGATTTGTGTTCAAAAATTTGGAATAACAGACAAAGGAATTTCGTCTATCAAAGTGCAATTTCCAAAAGCCATAGCGTAATGACCCCCGAAAATCATCATGCTAGAAGGCTGAGGAGCAGTGAAACTTATCTAACATAAATCTAAGGACATTTCCGAGACTTTTAAGGAGACTTTTCTTCAATATTTGACAGTGGCTTGCACATGAGAGGGAAGTCAAGTGATTTTAAAATGAGGCTAAAGACTAGACTTGTACATGTCCATCCATGGTCCAACTGTTTGACAAGACTGACTTCCTCATTCATTGTCATTAGTCTGGTGCCTGATTATGGAGAAATGTGTAGAAATAGTGACCTAGTATCCGACATCCTAAATATTTCTTTTGGCACTGTCAGCTGACAGTTGATTGATGCAGTACTGAAGAGTTGTTTGACTGGTTGTTTCAGATGTCAGTCTATTTTCTTGTATTGCATGTTTTCAGTACCTTAAGTTTTGGGACCCTCATACACAGTATTGAGAGTTCCAAAATTTTCCGACAAGAGTTACCTTAGACCCGTAAACGTGGCGTCCGGTGTCGATGTCATTTTGAAACATTCCATGTGATTTTATATTTTGATTTGCGACATATAATCTTGTATAATTTTGCCCTAGCCCTACACCTTAATCACTTACTTGTTAGGCATTCTGCAAAGTTACGCGAGTGTTGGATCTGTCATTGCCAAGAATTTTGATGAAAAATACGGCTCAACAAACGTGTTCGAAATGATCAGAAAATCAAAGACATGCATGGTACTCTGGTACCCCGAGTTTCACATGCGCAAAACAGTGGCAGTCCCACCAGTGGCTACCCGTCTTACGTGGCATGGTGACCATGGTGACCGTAACTTCGAACCATTGGAACTGGAAGTTAGCGCAACTCGAGTGTTTAGCCAATGGGCGCTAGTGTATGACGAAGTTACTAACGAACCGAATTGAGTTGGAGAAAAAGGGGAAATTACTGACTGACCATCAGAGGTATAGGCCCTAATTTTTGTGTATGCTTCCTATTTATTTGAACAGATAGTGATAACCAGACACTCTCTTGGACAAGAATGTGTTCAACTGGAAGACTTTCAGTGCCTGATGTTTGCATGACTGTAGTAGAACAAACCACGTTAGAGGAAAGCAATAGTGGAACATTTTTATACGATGCAAAATCTATACTTAGTCTCTGGAACATTTTCTGGCGTGCCAATCTCACTTGTCATGCACATGTCAATGGTGATCCCAAAGTAAAGTTTGATGACCTGTGGCATACTGCTGAACAGTTATCCGAGTTGTTGGACTGTTTGTTTGAAACTGAGTGTCAAAACCTTGCATTGGAATGCTGCAAGTTTGCTCTTCGATGTGGGCCTGTAAATCTTCTGCAAGCTTTGTTTAATAACAAGCTGATTGGTAAGTGTAATTTTTTTAATCAGCCCTTCAGGTAAAAAAAAATACAGGAGAGCCACATTACTCTCCCCAAATATTCAGCAAGCCCCAAAGTAAGAAATTCAGAACTTAATTGTGCCAAAAATGTACAAGTGACATTTTCTTCCAGTGAAGGTTTTAATTTGGGATAGTTCAAGATGTCACCTTTCCCTTGAAATTTTTCAATTGTACTGTTACAAAGACACCTGAGGAGACATCTGGGACATGAAGATGTTTGTTTTGTGTCTACGTGACATGTATTGTCACATACGTACATATCACGTACGTACGTAATATACGTAATATTATCACGTACGTATGTTTTATTGTCACGTACATGTACATATTATCACATATGTACGTAATATACTTAATATGACATACTTTAATACGCAATATCATGTAAAAGCATGATAATAATTTGCACGTTTGTACAGATGTACTTGTTATTAATAGCCCCTTTGTGCATTGTTAATCTTTGCATTTTACCACTATTCGCTCTTTTCACGCTCCGCCACTGGGCATGCACAGCCTCGATCTGGCAACTAAACGCAATTGAAATAGCCGGTTCAGTGATCTGAACCCCGACACCAGAATCACTGAACCGGCTATATCTATTGTGTAAAGTTGCTAGATTCGAGGCTCTGCATGCCCATGGCAGAAGTGTGAAAAGAGTGAATGGTAAACAATCATGTGCCTGTAGTCTGGTGCCCTGACTCCCCCCCCCCCTTAAGATGAAACAGATCAATGTACAGTCTTCTCACAAAAGTCACCATGACTTTGAAATTCTTCTCTGATAAGTTTTTGCCACTTTTCAGAGCCTTATTGGTTAATTCCGGATAAGAGTTGCGAACTCATGAATTTTCAAAGTACATTTTCTACATGTAAATCATTTTTTTCTTGGAAAGTAGACAAACCAAGTTTTCAGAAACGTGTATCTTTTCTTCTACTGCACTCAAGCACCGTCGAAATTAGAATTGTCAATAATTGATATACTGTATCTGAAATCCAGTATCGAGTATATTTGATATATTGATTATCCCATGACATTTTCGATATTTTTTGATATTATTCCTCGATTTCAGAATTTTCGATATTTCAATATGATTAAAAAATTGATATCAGCGATAACGATATCAAAACAATATCGAATAATCGAGTAATATCGATATATCTACGGTCCTTAATTGCACTTGGAATTATTTTTATCAAGGCTAGAAGTTTCAAGAAACAGAAGTACATTGCAGCGTTTTCCTCTAATTTGTGATGGAAATCTGAGTTCCCCTTGGTACAGTCTGATGCCATCCCTATCCACCACTATAGAATTTAAACCAAAAGATGAAACATGACAGTCTTGCACCATTTTGAAAAAAAATGTTGAAATGTCCCGTCTGTCACAAAAACACTTGAAGAATGTGTGTATTTTGTACATGAAAAGATACATTTGGTTCAAACTTGAATTCCTATCTTCTATCAAGGTGACCTCACCTAGAAAGTAAATAAAAATATCCTTTGATGTATAGTTTTTCTGATACCTGTATTCCATCTCAAACTCTGTCCCATCTGTCATATTTTACCCATTTGTTATAGTTTGTCCTGTCTGTCACATTTTTTTAATCACCTCTAGGTTAAAAAAAAAAGTTGAACCAGGCCTCGACCTGAAGCTTTTTTCAACTAGCCCACTGGGCAAGTTAACCAAGTGTTTTACTAGCCCGCAGGATTTTTACTAGCCCGCTGGATATTTTCGACTGTAACATGTAAGGCTCAGTTAATGACCACTTTGTAACAAGTCTCGTTAAATAAATGATTTTCAAACTTCTAAAGGGAGACACCAGCAATAGTAATAAAAAAAGGTTTTCCATTAGAATTTAGAAATCACTGTCACTGGTTGTAGAGTCTGGATCATTTGCTGATGGCTCTGCCTCATCATGCAGTGCGCACCCAAGGTTTGGTATTTGTTTTTTAGTCCCATGATTTGACCTTGGTGATATGGCCTATTTTCGAGTAGTATAATAGGGGGTAAGTGGCGCGCAATGCCTATTTCGATCCTTCCACCATGTTTTGTCAAAAGTTAATTAATTTGTTTATCAATATTAAAGGGAAGATACAACATTTGCAAACATCAAAAAAATGAAATCAAATTATCACAAAATATCTTACTTGATTGTTAGGGAATGACAGTCTAAAGCATCCTGTAAAGTTGTGGCTCCTGGTGGGTTGAAATTTTCAAGAAAAACTGTGTTTTTCCAATGCTGGTCAGCCGACCAGCGTTGGAGAAAACTGGCTTTTTTCAAAAAGTGCTCCTAATTGTTCATATTTAGTTCGTCTGCATTTTATTTTCAATTGATTACACACCTGTGAAGACTACAAGCCTGCTAGACTGGTTGTCTGATCTTACAATTCCCCAAAGTCTAAATTGCTCCGTTTCATCTTAAGTGGGGTCAGGGAACCAGACTACAAGAATATGATTGGTTTTCTTGGTTTTTCCAGCATCTATGAACCGAAAACGTGAAACAAGTCAGTGTGACAATATTTGCTGTAACATACTAATCCTCCAAATGCATTTATTTCTGAAAATTGCAGCAAAAGCAAATGTTGTTCATTCCCTTTTATAAGTATGAGTAGAACAAAATGTTTGAAGTTTATTTAACTACATTTTACATTGAATTCAAATTTGAAATCAGTGTAAATATATTTAATGAAAGTAAAATTAAAACCGAAGCAAATTTACATTGCAACTGGCAGCTACCGTAAACGGTAGTTATTGCCACGTCTGGACTCTGATCGACTATGAAAGGTTTCTCCCCCTTTTTGCATGTAATTTGCACTTTTTTGCCCTTAATTTACCGAGAAATTGTGTAAATATTCAATATCACTATTGAGGGCGCTATAATAGCAGCCGCATGTATTTTTTTCGAGCTCTGAGTTTGTGTGATATGTTTTATGCTTTTTACAATTATCGTTGATGTCATTTGTAATGTGTGCTTCGAGTGAACTTTGTGCAACCAGCGGTGAGCTTCTGGTTATGTATTTGTCAACGTTTTGATGTTTTTTATTACTGGACAAGATTGGTTTATGCAACGGTAAAGCCAGCGTTGTGGAAGTACGTCCATTACGCATACGACGTTAGAACTCTTGAGGGCGCTGCAAATAAATCTGCAAATAACTGTTGTGCTGTCTTTAATAGCATGCTTAGATGACATCTTCGGTGATCTTCCCCAGTCCTTCTGATTTGAAAATCACAGGTGTGTGGAAAAAAGCACACCTGGATTTTTTTAGGCATGTGATTTTTCTCGGCGTGTGATTTTTTAGGGAGGTGATTTTTTTAGGTGTGTGATTCTATGGTCCAAGCTGGGATATATTTCATAATATTCATCTTGGTTTACAATTAAGCCATTTTCTCTTCGCTGACATACTTTCTATCTATCTATCTATCTATCAGGCTACGTCCATCCGCTGTCGAATGAAGCCCTCCTCATGACGTTTCCAATCACTTCTGTTTCTGGCTGTCCTAGTCCAAGTCGCTGTTCCCATATATGTAGTTATATCATCTCTCCATCTTTTCTTTGGTCTTCCTCTCCTTCGCTTTCCCATTCGTGGTTGCCAATCTGTTAATCTGCATGTCCATCTATTATCCTGAATTCTTGCTACATGCCCTGCCCATCTCCATTTTGCTTCGCTGACTTTCTCTATGACATCTTTCACCCCAGTTTTCTGCCGAATTACTTCATGTTTTACTCTATCTCGTAGGGATAAGTGAAGCATCTGTCTTTCCATAGCTCTCTGTGCTGTTGTGAGTTTCTGTTCAAGTTCTTTAGTTAATGACCAAGTTTCTGATCCATAAGTCATAGTGGATAGCACACACTGATTGAATAGTCTCTTCCTTAGTGATATTGGTAATTTGTTGTCTGTTAGCATGTCTTTGTGTTGACCAAATTTCATCCACCCTGCTTTGATTCTCAGCATCACCTCTTCTCTCGTGGTGTCCTCCATTTTCAGTGTCTGTCCAAGGTACTTATAGTTGTTCACCTTCTCTAGTTTCCGTCCCTCTATTTCAATGTCTTCCTGGGTCTCAAAGTTTGTCATGTACTTTGTTTTGTCTTTATGCATGGTTAAGCCAATTAGCTTGCTCTCTTTGTTTAAGCTGGATAGCTGCTCATCCATACCTTTAACAGTTGTTGAAATCATTGCCACATCATCAGCGAATCGCAGGTCTGTGAGAGGTTCTCCGTCAATATTAACACCATTATCCAAGTCTGTCTTTCTAAACACTTCCTCTATAATTGTAGTAAATATCTTTGGAGAAAGGGTGTCGCCCTGCCTTACGCCTCTCTGGATGTTGACAGTCCTGGATACATCGTTGTCAATATAAATACGGGCAGTTGCATCAGTATAAATGTCTTCTTGAATTCGGACATATCCTTCATCAACATTCACCTTTCTCAAGGCCTCGAACACATACTTTATTTTTCACAAATCATGAAGTAAAATTATGCTGTAAATGTTTGCCGAGGTGTGTGGTACTGAGGGATTCAGGCGTGCGATTATTCGCACTTCTGAGGAAGCATGTAGGCGTGTGATGGCGTGGGGGTGCGATCGCATGCCTCAAAACAGAAGGACTGCTTCCCGTATTTTTCCATGTTATCTGATGTCAGTGCTTTTGTATGGACCTTCGTCCAGCCAGTGGACGATCTTCTTCGTCAACATAAACAGTTACGCTACACTACAGTCTACAGAAACTGAGCAGACCAGAGGTACTCATTGCAGAACACTGAAGCAATGATAGAAATACAGTACTCTGTAAAAGAATTGCTAGCAATTGGCAGTAATTACATGAATTACAAGAAGAATAACCCATTGGAAACTAATGTGTGGGTTAATCTGAAGCAGTTGGGTGTCGCCAAGGCTACAAGAGGTTGCCGTGGCGGTAAGCACAAACAGAGACAACTAGCCCCAATTATTACGAGAACTAGGCAACCAGCTACTCGTCATACAGGGATGTCCAGACCAAGAGTACTGACCGATGAACCTAAAATTGATACTCCCAAGCCTAGCAGTAAGAACTTCCTGCCACGCTTCTTCCTGACGAATGCGCGCTCAGTCCTCAATAAACAAGATGAACTGGCAGAATCCCTGAAGCAAGATAAAACTGATATAGCAGTAATAACGGAATCCCTGGTGAACCCTAACACTTCACCAGAGCAGTATCACATACCGGGCTTCAATGTTTTCAACAATTGCCGAACTGACAAGCGTGGTGGAGGTATTATGGTCTTGGGCGATTTTAATAGAACTAATATTAGGACTTTCTGCATGGGTAATGGGTTGACACAAGTGGTCAAAGAACCTACAAGAGATGATGCAGTGTTAGACCTCATAATCACCAACATGGCTGATCAATATTGTGCGCCGATTATAAAATCACCCATTGGTTGTAGTGATAACAATTGTGTCAGCCTAGTGCCTAAACAATCACTGGTCGTAAATGAAGTCAAAAGGAAAGTGGTTCGACCGATGACTGAATCAAAACAAAGAGAGTTTGGCAGATGGGTTCAGAGTCAAACTTGGACCCTGATATATGATGTAACTGATACCCAAATTAAGGCAGACGCCTTCTATCAACTACTCAATGAGGGAATAATCAGTTTTTTCCAGCCAAAGTGGTTCATCTCCACGCTGGTGACAAACCGTGGATGACAGATAAAATTAAAAACCTCATTGGACTTAGACAGAAGGCATTTGCTGAGGGTAATACACTCGTTAGAAAGAAACTGAGAAATCAAGTTACTACATGTAGTGAGATAAAGAAGGCAAAGGCCTCTCACAATGTCAATAGAGTGAGAAAACTACAACAATTGCAGCCGAGGAAATGGCACAGGGAGATTCGGAATTTGGCCAACATGCAAAAAAGTGACACAACCATACGGTACATGTACCAAATATTGATCCTGATGACTATGTTGGCGTTGCAAATGCCATTAACAAGCACCTTGTTAGTTTTTCACAGGCTCAACAATCACTGCATGTTGGTGATCTTCCGGCTTATCTTCCGAGTTGTGAACCACCTCCTCGTTTCAACCATGGGAAATCTATAACGATTTGAAGAAGCTGTCTGTCTGTAAAGCTGGTGGTCCAGACAATGTGCTAGGGGACACTACTAAGAGAATTTGCTTATGAGCTGAGTAAGCCAATCACAGATATTATCAATACTTCTCTGACTCAAGGTATAGTGCCCACCCAATGGAAGGAGGCCAATGTCATTCCCATCCCGAAACAGACACCTCCTTCAATCGATAAATTGAGACCAGTGTCTCTTACCTCGTGCATAGCCAAAGTTGCTGAAGGGAGAATCTCGAAGTTTATTGTTGATTCCATCCAGCCCCATATTGACGACCGCCAATATGGAAATCAGAAGGGTATGTCCACCACTCACTGCCTAATTGATGTGTATCACCACCTTGTCTCGGGTGCGGAAAAACCAAACAACATCAGCACCCTTTCTTGACAGACTTTTCAAAAGCATTTGATGTCATAGACCATAAAATTGCCTTTAACAACTTATTAAAAATGGGTGTTTCTCCAGCTATCATACAGTGGGTGGTTGACTTCCTTCTGAATGGAAGCAAAGAGTGAAATACAAGTTAGAATTCTCTGACTGGGCCTACCTCTCAGGGGGTGTCCCCCAAGGGACAAAAATGGCGCCTATCATTTTTCTTGCAACCATCAACAGTGTACAGGAAGAGGACAGAGATACTAGAATCAAAGTTTGGAAATATGTAGATGACTTAACGTATGAAAATGCAGGCCAGATCCAGAATAGTGTGGACTCCCGGCATGACTGGACTAACAATAACAAACTCAAATTGAACCCAACAAAATGTCAAGCCATGCTGGTTTATTATGGAAAAAAACCCACCCCTATGTTGGACTTAAGTATCTCTGGCCAAAAACTGGCTATAGTAGAAAAGGTTAAGTTACTCAGAGTTACTATCCAACAAGATTTGAAATGGGATGGGCAAGTAGACACTATAATCACTAAATCCAGCAGAAAATTGTTCATGCTTCGAAAATTAAAAGAAGCTGGTCTTAATGCCCAAGAATTGTTAACAGTATACAAAGGGTACATTCGACCGGTTGTTGAGTATGCAGCTTCACTCTGGAATGGAGGCCTTACCCAGGGCCAGGTATCTTGGGTTGAAAAGATTCAGAAAAGAGCAAGCCGCTGTATCCTCTCTGAAAAATATACATCCTATGATGAGGCCTTGGCTACTCTGCAGCTTGACACCCTAGAACATTGCAGAGCACAAATATGCAAGGACTTTGCTCAAAAGTAGCCGCTCTGATAAATTCTCAACCTGGTACCGTGCCTCTGGGTATAGTTCGTCTGTGACCTTGAGGAAGAGAAACACATTTGGGACATATAAGTGCAAGACCAAACGATTCAGATGTAGTCCTCTGCCCTATTTGACAACACTACTAAATGAATAAACACCAATGTATAATTCATGTATACTATTTCTTGCCCAGTGATAAGCCTTCTCAGCGCTACCTGTATACTACTAGGCCTTCACACTTCCTGCTCCACTGCACTCCCACTCCGTATCCGCGTAGCTGGCAACAGGGTAGTTGGTTTGGACTTCCCATTTCAGCAACTCCCATTCCTTTTGTGTTGCTTTGTTCTCAAGGGGACTCCCACTCGGTATCCGCGTAGCTGGCAATGGACTTATGCAGCATATAAAAATGTTCCGTCTGTCGCATCCCGTCTGTCACAACATTAATGAGCCTGGTGTTTCAAGTTCTGTGTTTTGAATTACTTAATAAAGTGTTCACTGATTATTGGCTTAAAGGTGATGAACTTTAAAAGAAAAAAACATTACATTTCCCAGGGGAACAGATAGCTTTTTCCAATGAAAAGTGTTTTCAAAATATGGAGTGTAATTTCCATCCCGTCTGTCACGCCAATTTTACTTTGTCACTATACAGCCACTGAATCCTTTTAGTTTATTTTTTAATTTGAAATGTAGACTGTTTGCTTTAACTTGATAACTTAGATGGTTACACCTTACATACTGGTTGTGGCAGGCCTTTGAAAAATAGTAGTGAAAATCTGTCTCGTCTGTCACGCCGGAATTGGCCTATCTTGTTTTCTCATTCGTACATGAATGCAAGGGCTGGAAGAACATTGGATTTTTTTGTCTGACAACATGCTTTTTGCTTAACATTTTTAAATATTGCTTGAAAACGTTCAATTGTTTTTATTGTAAAATTGCAGATTTACATGTTAATCATACCTTTGATGATGGCAAGAGTCTACTCCACTATGCTTGTTTGTCATCTAATGTCAAGGCTGTTGCATTTCTTTTGAGTCGTGGAGCTTCGCTGAAAATAGTTGATAATGCAGGTAAGTTATTGAGCAGTTTTGATGTTAGAACTGATTTGTGTTACTCCAGAACATTTGGGTGCAATGTTATGGGTATTTGCAGTGATTTCGTTTTAGCCTAAGTAGTAAGGATCACCTTTTGATCATCCTTTTATTTAAAAATTATCTGAGCCCTTCAATGTTGCTAAAACTTTGGTGTTGGGATTTTCCATGTCAAGGTGGACATGACACCTGAATTTTCGAAACTGTTGTATCTTTTGTAATTGTTTAAGACCAGCCTTAAAACATATTTATTTGAAAGTTGTTTTCCTTAGTTATATATATTTAATTGTTTATGAATTGTAAAGCACATTGTGAGCTCCGGGGGTCCTGAAATGTGCTATATAAGAATGTGTTATTATTATTATTATCTTGGTAAAGTTGGTATCAAAATAAAGCTGAAAGTCTGACAATTTGGGAAACAAGCATTATATTGAAAAATCCACTGGGTCCTATGTTTTTGTATTTTTAATTAACATTATTTCCCAAAAATGTCCCACATTTACTAGAAAAGAGTTAACTGTTAATATCTCTTGAAACGTATTACAAGCAGGAATTAAATAATATTTCAATGCAAATCATACTTCCATAGAAACATAACATGCATGCACCAAAGTTGAAATATTAGCTATTGTTAATTGATTATTTAAATTAAAATATATCACGCTCACACGCTGTTACTTTTTCGTTGACACAAGACATACATTGTAACTGCATGACTCCATTTTATTTACACAGCGAGAAACTGTTTACCTGTAACTTCATAAGTGAGTTAATGCAGAGCATGCTAGTAATACAACAAGGATGTGATTAATTCACCTATGGCTGCAGAGCAATTTTTAAAGTGGGGAGGGGCACCTTTAGGGGACATGGATATGGGGGGGGGGCATGTTGCTCCTCCTCCCCTCCCCCCCCCCCCCCCCACCCCAGTCCACTGTAGTTATGCCACTGGTAATATGTGGAATGACATATTACTGTATCGATGCTGTAATCCATTCATTACGGGTATACAAGAAAATTGTGGGAAAAAGAAAATGTACTGATGGTTGGTTAATGAGCCAGAATTGCATTTTTTAGGGTACTAAGTAAATGTATGTCAGGTCATCATTGCTTCAGTGCACATACATGTACATCTGCGATGAAAGACAATGAGTTTTATGTGACGCACCTGCACAAAAGTGATTAGAATGGGACATTATTCATTGCTAAAGATATGTCACTGACAAGTATGGGTGGGTAGAAAGGACGAAAGTTACGTAAAAGCCAGCCTCAACCATTGATAATAGGGATTGCTATTAAAAAATGGGTAAGTTATGTAATTTGTAAAAGTTAAAAGCATAATTTTCAATAAATGAAAAAGTATTGTAATCAAACATTTATAATTTCGTTTTTTAATGTTTTGAAACCTCTACATAAACACCAGGGATCAACCCCTTCTTATCCATTACATATTGTAGTTGATGTCAAATAAGTCTAAAAATAGAAACATGTTTGAAAAAAGCACCACATTGTTCCGAACATCATGGTTGTAAAGAGGTTGTGTGAAACAGAAAGTAATCTGAAGTTAAATTCTATCCCCCTTTTATGACAAGACATTTTGTAACTTTTAGTGGCATATAAGTTGATGCTAAGTAAAGCCCGGTACACACCTTCCCGATTTTGCCCGTTTCCCAGATCACTCCATCACCGATACACTGTCAGATTGGCCCGAATTTTTAGCGCACACTGGTATGATGTCCCGATGATCTGTTGAACTGACAAAATTGGAAAGGTGTGAGGCGGGCTTTAGTGTATGAATATTTTTCTAATTGCATTCAGGATTAAGAAAAGTTGCCACGAATGGTGTTAGCACAATACAACATTTGCATGTTGCCTTTTGTCTTCCCTGCTGTTTGTTTGCTTGTCTGGTTTTTTTTGGTTTGTTTTCGTGTATGCTACTGTGCATCGGGAGTCCTGTTTATTACGTCACGATTTACTGTGTTTTGTTTGCTGCCCGCAACGACGACATTTACACAGTTGCACGTTCGGGTCGAAACTGGACCTGAAAAACAGCTCTCAAAAGTACCTTTTGTACTCATTTCATGACAGAAACAATAGTCGTTATTATTTCATCACACCTTAGGCTACATATACCCGAAAAATGACGGAAATGTCTTCGAGCATTCCACATCCTCTTAAAGTACATGTACAAGTACATAATGTATACCAAGATACAACCAAATCGACCTATAGTTCGATATATCGTGATGAAGTCATGATGACGTCACCTCAATTTTCATCTATAGGCCCTAACACGTCTCGGTCTAGGTACATGTACATACCAACTTTTAACCCAATCCGACCTTTAGTTCTATATAAACCTTCAAGATATGCACCTTTATTGTGACTTTTTATCTATAACACATCCTGGTCGAGGTACATGTAGGTCCATACGGTACATTTACCAACTTTCCAGAGTTGTAATGACTCGAGTTAATGACTCGACTCGAGTCCGACTCGAGTCACAATTTTTGGTGACTCGACTCAACTCGAGTCCCTATGGGTAAATGACTCGATTCGAGTCACTGCAAGCAAATGACTCGACTTGACTCGAGTCCCTCATCAAAAGACTCGACTCGACTCGAGCGAATGCTAATAAGACTCGAGTCCCAAAAATAAAAGCAAAATTTTGCGAAAAGTATTTGCAATGACTTACGGTGCGAATTTTATGTTCATTTACAAACAAACAATGTGTCACAGACTCCCACCTTATGGTTCTGGAACACACAAAATACTTTTCAGGAACATTTTTTAAACACATTTTCCAATTCGTTGTTTCATCATTGGCTTTTGGCGATTTCTTATGAAGCCTCTTGGATTTGAATGCCGGCTAAATTTATGCCCTCCTTTTATAGACGAATCCAAGCGCGGTTTACGAAAGGGCGCCCTCTTTCTTTCCCGCCATTACTGGGACGCATTTTGCATTATGCATGTGCGGTCTGACCTCTGATTATCGATCGGTATGGCGGGAGATATAAACGAAGTGCACAGTGGCAGACGATCAACAACAAAATTATGTATTTTAGACCTTAATGTTTTATTTAGTTTGTTGTTCTTTACCACATTGATGGTGTAATTGTTTTGCTTCAAGAAAATATGTCTACAAATAAAAAAATCCTCCAAGACATGACTAAAATTATTAATTTACGCGCACTGCCCGGCGGAATTTGTCCGTGTCCTAGCGCGCAATTCGTTCAGTCTTCGACGGGGCTTGCGTGGCGTCAGCCCCCCGGCCGTGCAGTCAACTGCATTCACGGTGCGAATATTTGGGTGTCATGACGTGCATGGTGCAGCCGTGTACAGCTGATTTATTTATTGCCAGGATTAGGTTTTGTATCTGAAAAGCTACCAGCATTACAACTGCACACAGGTGAGTTTCGCTTCTGACATGTCTGACAATGACGCGAAGAAAGGCTTAGAAAAAGAGAACTTGAACAAGCTGAAGTCGAAGTTGCAAATTTTCTGGGTAGGCCTAGCCCTATAGCCTGACGTTTTACATTATCATGCATGATTAGTACTGGCAATACTTCATGTATTTTTAGCAATTCGTGTAAGCCTTGTAACAGGCCTAGATTTTCTCATAAGTCCTGTGCAATCCCTTCCCAAGTTTAAAAATAATTGTGCACAATGTAATTTTCCAAATTATCATTATAAATCAGTGATATAAGTCATGGAATGCCAACCAAAATGGTCATGATCACCAATATTGTTTTTGTTCATCTTATAACAGGCCTAGCGTTTTTCCAAATACATGTAATTCATGGAGTGGACTGATGATGTACGTCAGTGGCCTAGGCTAGAATTTCAAGGTAATTTAAAAAGAAGGCACGGTCATTTACAGATTACAATTTACAGATAACTTTATTTTCAATAGGTTTAGAAAACTATGCACAATCATATTTGCAATAGAATTATGAAGTATCTTTTGCAATTACTAGTCTGTCTATGGTCAGTTGCAGGATTTTTGTTTGAAGTTGCTATATTTTTTTATTTTGTGATATGGATGAGGCTGCATATGTGTACATTTTAGTAAATTTAATTATTCTTTCAAATCTTAATAAATATGTATTACCTTTTTACATGAAATATACATAAATTTTAATTCAATTCATCTATTATCTCAAATAGTCTTCATAAATAGTTATTATGTTTTTACATGAAAGACATGTGCGCTGTAAGTAAATTCAATTATTGTTTCAAAAAATATTAATAAACATTACCGTTAACTCTTTTTAATTTCAGATATTTATGACTTCTACATAAATGGACCTGCATGCGATGATCATCCCAATTTAAATCATAGAAGTATAAGTGAAGGGCTTAACTACCTTCATTCCGGATGGGTAGGAGCTATAAAGCATTGCTACAAAACTGTTGATAAGGACATTATTACACTGGCTGGTCAAATTCGCTTTTCCCAGAGGATAAACAACTTTCACAATGTTGAAGTAACAGTGAATAAAGCAAATAGGCAAATAGTTACTGTGAAATGTAATTGTACTGCTTCTGAGGGGAAATCCTGCAGCCATTCAGCTGGCCTTCTCTTCAAAATTGTGGAAGCTAACAAGTGTGGATTCACAGCCAGTTCATGTACGGATAAAGCGTGCATCTGGAATCATTCAACACAGGAAAATGTACTTCCAGACAGCATAAGTAATATCCGAGGGAAGAATGAATCCACCGTCAATACAAGTCTTGCATTTGATACTGATGAGCAACTTATGGACCATTTGAATAGTTCAACACTGAAGGAACTATCTGCAATACCCGGAACTATTTTAAATCACCTTAAATCAGCCAAGCCATTATCCCATCCCCACAACAAGCGCACACTACCAGACCATGAACTGCACAACACCAACATGGAGTGCCCTGCATGTCTCATGACTTATGAGAAATACGTGCACCTTTCAACTACTGACACTGTATTGCTTGCACAGTCT